TAAAAGCACTTTTGTAAAAGTGCTTTCGTAAAGTACTTTCATAAAAATGTTTTTATGTCGGCTTCAGCTTTGATCAGTTTCAAATTGGACAAGGGTTTGGCCTCATGATCAAATTATTGGGAATTTGGTTTAGGTCCGATTCAGACCGATAAGAATATGGACCAATTTATTTTGGAYTGGCCAAATCCAATAATTATAACAGACCATCCAAATCCGATTTGATAAGGTTTGGATCGGATTGGATCCAATCCAAAACCGGTCCATTGGCACCCTTAGGGAGAGGGGGAGAGAGAGAGGACCCTAAGAATGAACTACTTGGCTCCAATGTTTCAAAAGAAGGTAGAACCGAAGAAGAGCCACTAATGACTCAATTCAGAAAGATGAAGGGAGAGAGAGGAGGGTAGAGAGATAGGGAAGACTCTAAGAATGAACTACTTGGCTCCAAAGTTATTAGAATACTACAACTTACAATATTAATTGCTATTCTATTCATACACTATCCTATGATTGAATCCTTTTTGTAGAAAAAATCATCATTATTTTTTGAATCTTATCATTTGATCCATAAACCTTACAATTTATCTGATCCATACAATTTGAAACAATTCTGTACTTCATTTATTTTATTAATTGTTTTCAAGGAAWTTTTTTTTAATTCTTTCTAAAGTAAAATATATTAGAGATATGCAATCATATTTAMAGACATTTTTTGGGCTTAGTTTTCATGATACATGGATCCAAGAGCCATCATATTTATGGCAATTAGTTAACTTTGACATAAAACTTGGTTTTATCATTTTCTACTTAAAGTCTATAAAATAATAAAAACCTCATTACATTAGTTATATAAAGGGTTGATATGAAGCTGAAAATGCATACAATTATTATGTTACATATTTACGCTTTTAGTCTGAGAGTGGCCACTTTGTGCACAAAAATGCTAAGGGTTAGGACCATATCCGCTTTTAGTCTACCCCTACCAAGACTGCAGATCAGTGATTTAAAAGGTGCGCCTCAGATCAGTGATTTAAAAGGTGCGCCTGAGGCACGCCTAGGCGCACAGGCGAGGCGCATTTCAGGGTGTGCGCCTCACCTAGGTCCTAGGCACAGTCCTTTCAAAAGGCGCACGCCTGGTGCGCCTAGGCATGATGCGCCTTGCGCCTCAGCCCAGGTATGCGCCTTTTGAAAATTTGATGCTTCGCTCACTCACT